AGAAGATTATCGAGAGTAAGAATCCACAATATATCCGTGTACGTAAACGCTTAAATTTGTATTGTTACGTAATCTCAATTTCCTACAAGGCCTCCACACGCCTATAAATATAACCAACGCGCTGCACCAAAAGAGACTATCTATTATTAGTCTGCTATAGTCAATGTGCTATGAACTTCAGAAGCTATAACTGTGATTGTTATAACACTTACCAATAAGAAAACTTAAGATATTTGACCAGGAGCATTTACAAAGTTCGAATATTACAAATTATTTAACGTCAGTGGATTATCATCAGACATTAGTATTTTTACGAAAACATTATATACATTCATCGTGGAAGACTCAGCGCGCGTGACTGGTGAATAACGAAGGACAAAGACTCAGCGTGTGTGGCTAGTGAATAACGAAGGACAAAGCTAGCTAGCTTCCAGTTAAGCGAATTGTACCTACGTCAACTCGTAATTAATTCTCTCATCGTGAGCCTTCGATAAGATATCTAAGAAATTCCAGACTAGAAAGATTTTATATTGCTTGTAAGTTTGTGAAATTTTTGTTTATAAATCATTGTTTGTAATAACTATTTGTAATAACTGTTATTGTCAATTGTATTGTTGTGTGTGTGTGTGATTTAAAATATATTTGTGTTAAGAAAGAAAACTGTGTGTATCAATCTTATTGGCAAATATAAACTGACTATATATCAGCTTTTAATTAACTGTCAAATACGAAGTACAATTTAACTACTAAATTCAAATTATCAGTTAACTCAATTTCAGACCATTTGAAATTCTAATACTAACCGTGTATATAAAGTGGATTTAAAGTTTCAATAGGTAAAGTTCCTTGTGGTGGACAGAGTGCAGATAGCTCATTGCGTAATATTCTGCACTAAAACAAATAACTAAACAATGAGAAAAGAGGTTGGACAGCTGGTGCACCATGCCATATACGAAAATATCGCGTCTAGCAGAAGAAAGTCAGCATAGTAAATGTTTCCCCAAATATGTTGATTCCTTTCATTAAGTGACAGTAATAAATGGAATGAAATCGTATTTCGAACAATCACTTTATTTCTTAGCTTGAAATATCTATATCTAAAGTGAAACAAAGTATCTTTAAACTAAATAATACACTAAATCTGACGTCAGCCACATCAAAATTATAATTTTTGTGGAGGGTTAATTACATTTTATAACAATTATATTCCATATTTCTGTTACTACTCGGGCATTTACTCAATAACTACTCCAAGCATGTAGACAATAACGCCAATATAGAAAAATATGCAAACACTATGGCCAAGACTGTATCAAGTTATGTTTGCCATACAACATACGGACTACACTGTGTAACAGTGACTTGGTTATCGCAAAGTTAGGATGATTTTTTGATAAAAAGATGGACAGGATCTCACTATCTGAGCTATGATGCATAATTTCCTTCCAAGATATCTGCAGAATATTGGAGGATAGCTGTTAAATTATCACACTATTAGAGTGTTTATGTCTTTAACATCAACTACTAAGGATGATCGCTAGGTAGTAGCTCAGAAGCCAGAGGTTGTCTTTCCACAAGTACTAGTGTATGTGACAGTATTACAAGTTAAAATACAAGTCTATGACAATGTATATGAATAAATACAAGTGTATGGTGTTGAAAACATGTATTGACTTTACACAAAGTCATTTATAAATGTTCTATAACAGAGATGAACTATTAACTGAAAACACAGCTATCAAGCAGCATTTGAATGAAAATAATGGATCTGATCCGAATGGTAAGGCTTTGAGGCATGACAAATAATTGTGATACTGACCCATAAAGCATTATTTGAAAACACAGCATACCTGATGTTTTCATTGATGTTGGTAAGAGAATGTTTCACTTTTGACATTGAAATATTTGGCAGGTGGTGGATTTTTATGGGAGAGATGAGAGTAGCAACTAGACTGATTCTGCCTTGCAAAGAAACGCAGTCCAACCTATTTACTGCTAGTGGTAGTAAGTAATATTTTAATTGGATTGAATTTCAATATTTATAAGTAAGCGAAATTATCTGTAGAAAGTGAAATCTGCAAACAATAGTTTGTACCTTACCTAATGCAAATTTGGTGCATCCAGTATTTCATTTGGCTGTGATTGAATATTTTCAATCATGCAGGTTGAAGTAATTTTGAGAAGTATGCAGTTGTACTGAAGATTTTCTGAACATTACTTCAAAGAAGGTTACAATGTTTTCACTCTTTGGCCATTTCAGGCATTATAAGTTTATCACAGTTTGAGATACAGTGGGGTTTTTAGTTAGTTGTTTAGCTTTTGTTTTATATTTCAAATTAGGAACGCTTCCTTTTTCATCAATGTCAATTCATCTGTCGCTGAGTATGATTTTGAAGTGTTCGATGTTCGTCTTCTCACTACAGTTTTTGATTAGATGGCTGTAAATTCCAAAGTTGTTGGAAGGGAAGTTTTGCGCTTGCTCCTTGACCTTGATAGCTAGAGTTATTGACCCAATGTAGCCATGTCTAGAGCATGGACACATGTATTGATACACTACCAGGGATAGCTTTGAAATAGGTATTTTGTCTGTGAAGAGGATAAAATTGAATATTCGTTTCTTCGGTTTGAAGATCACTCTTAGGCTGAATTGAGGATAAGATGATTGCAGAATGTTCTTGATTTTTCTGCCATGAGAACCAGTGAAGGGTAACACCAAGGTGATAGGACAGCTGTAAACTTTATTAATATATTCAAAAATACTTTTTTTGGTGAATACTAGAGGGAATAAATTTTTAATCAAGTATTTTTTTATATTGATTACTTCACCATGAATATTACAATAAGAGTTCGGTGAATTAGAATGCTTATTAAATTAATTTTGTAACAATCAGATATGAATGGGCTGAAATTATAGTACAGATCAGGAAAGGTTGGTTTGTAAAAAATTCCAAGATTATTTAAATTTAAACACAGAAATATCAAGTTAACAGTTGAAGAACAAAATAATCTTAATTGTCTTTTTTTTTATATCTAGAGGTAATCAACCTGAACAACAGGTTCTAAACTAGATTCTACCAAAAACCAAATTTGTCTTACTTTTCGTCAAGTGGTGTTTATTTTTATGTGTAATTTTGATTATTATAACTAATTATTTTGCTATAATATTTCTTACCACTGATCAAAGTTGGCTAAATTATCCTGGCTGATTTAAGCCTTGAGAAAGGGCTAAACTTTTTTGTAAATACGATAGCTTATCTTTTAAAGTATTTTTTCTTGTTTTAAAATAGCTTAAACACTCTTTTAATTATTTATTTAGTTTTAATTACAACATTTTGTTTGAAATTTAGTATTTTTTATTACATGTTATCTTTCCTTAAATTTGCCAGAGTTCGAAGCACGTGCTGAGAAGTTAGTGGTAAAGCACTTTACCTTCTAACTTGTGTAAGAAGCTGGAAAGTTTTAAAACGTGTTCATAATATATTGTTTTACTAGATGGCAGCACTTCCTCCTTGTTGGTGAAATTAATTTAAAAAAAGAATCTACCATTTCAATGAATAGTTGAGGTTTTCAGTGTTAATAAGCAAAATGACCTTGACTTATTGCCTAGCTTGTTGTAGTTTTGTAAATAATTTTTTCTTTATAATCAGTTGTTGAAATCCACAGGCTCAATTATTTCGTTTATTACGAAATTGTTTAATAAAAAGTTATTCGCACATCGTAAGGACATTATGGTTTTCCTAGACTCAATACGGACCAGGCACAGCTATCTGATCACTGTAACAACGCGGATGTAGTGACGTAGCGACTTGTTACATGTGAAACGAAACAGACAAGACTCGGTTTGAAACTGAACAAAAATAAGCTTTATTTACAACAGAAGGATGGTTGAGACAGCGATCTATTGTCCAGTGGATAAAACTCGACCAAACAGAATGGATAAATTGTATTTAAGTGAAAATTAAATAATAATAATACAACTACTAATAAAATAATATGAAAATAAACTGCACGTGAAGATAAACTGTGTGTATGTAATAGTGGGATCGT